CAGTGGTCGGCAAACTGTGGCTCAGGAGCCACATGCGGCTCTTTGGCCCCTTGAGTGTGGCCACGAAGTTTCAATCACACTGTACGTGCGCGCTCTCACATGCTATTTTGTGGAAGAGCCACAAAGGGGCCAAAGAGCCACATGTGGCTTGCCAGCCATGGTTTGCCGACCACGGGTCTAGGCAGACTGAGTTAGGAAGTTCTGTGTTTGCTCGTAGATTGTACCTGTGTGAGAAGGCCCTGGCGGAGTACCTGGATACCAAAAGGCTGGCCTTCCCCAGGTTTTACTTCCTCTCCTCTTCTGATCTGTTAGATATCCTTTCCAACGGCACAGCCCCGCAGCAGGTAAGCCAAGGGAATGCTTGTAGAACCCCCAGAAGGACTGAGGAGCCCCAGCAGGGGGATTTCGGGTTCCCCATATGCCTCCTCCCTTCCTAACTTCAGAGCTTTCTCATTCCCAACCATCACTGCTTCTCAGGACGCCCTCTGACTCGCCAATGGCTCTTTCTCCCTGCGATAGAGTTGGAGAAGCTTTGAAGATGGCAAAAATGATGCCTCTGGAGAGAGGTCCACTCATAGCAGTCAAAAGTCATAGCTAAGCCTGGTAGGTGCGGCTCAATAGTTGAGTGTAGACCCATGAACCAGGAGGTCATGGTTCAATTCCCAGCCAGGGCACATGCTCGTGTTGTGGGCTTGATCCCCGGTAGGAGGCATACTGGAGGCAGCCAGTTGATGATTCTCTCTCATTCTCTCTCTCTCTCTCTCGCTCTCTCTCTCTCTCTCTCTCTCTCTCTCTCGCTCTCTCTCTCTCATCTCTCTCTCTCTCTCTCGCTCTCTCTCTCTCATCTCTCTCTCTCTCTCTCGCTCTCTCTCTCTCATCTCTCTCTCTCTCTCTCCCTCTCCCTTCCTCTCTCTGAAATCAATAAAAACATTTTAAAAAGCTGAAGCTAAAACTCTCCGTGGGGAGATGAGATGGAAGCTGTGTTAACTTGACATCAGGTGGTTTAGTTGAAAGAGTGCATATGAGAAGCCCAAATTTTGGGTCCCACCACCTGTTCTGGCCCCTTATTAGCCATATAGTCACTGCATATTGCTTCTTTGAAACAAACTTTTCTCATCTGTAAAATAGAAGAAGCCTACTGTGTTACAAGGTTTTTAAATATTAAAGTAACTAATTGAAGCATTGTTGATATTCGGAGCTATAGTCAGTGGTTTTCAAACTTGAGGGGATTCAGAATCAGCTGGAAGCCTTGTTAGAATACAGACTCCTAGGCCTGTCCTAGAGGGGCTGATTCAATAGGTATGAATTTGCAGTTCCAAGGATTTCCCAAGTGATGCTGCTGGTCTGGGGACCACACGCTGAGGGCAACTGCTATCTATGACGGAGGCTGAGTCTCACAGTGAATGATGGGAGGGAAGGATACTGTCTCTACTGCATGCTCCATGCACTTTCCTCCCTCTTCCCCAAAAAGATGTTTTTAATTCTCTTATTTTTCTTGAGACTGAGGAGACACAAAAACTTTATTCAGAAGTCACTTGGATGAGTTCTCTTTCTCCTTCAGTGTGATTTTGTTACTCATTCGAAGTATAGCTGGGCTCTCTTTACTTTCTGTTTCAAGGTTTTCCACCTCATTTATTTGCTTGTTTGAATATGTAGAATTCTTAAAGTCAAACTATACACAAAGATGTGAGGTGTCACTCATTCCCCTATTCCCTCCATGCATCACCACCTCCTTCCCTCTTTGGGAGCCAAATCCGTTAGTGTTGGTTTGCCTTTCCCATGTCTATATTTGGAAAGATAAGCAGGTGGACATTCATATTTGTACATTTTCTTCTTCCCATTTCTTTCTTACACAAAAGGTAGCAAGTTTTTTGTTGTTTTGTTTTTTTTTACTTAGTTATATATCCTGGAGATCACTCCATATCAATTCAAAAATACCTCCCTCTTTATTTTTACATCTGCATCATACTCCATGGACTAATACAATGTAGGCTGGCCATAAGTTGTTGATAATATTTTGCAATGACAAATAATGCAGCATTAAAAAACTTTGAGCCTTGTATTAT